TTAAACATTTGAAAACTCCCGCGCGCTATTTTGACGACGGGCTACATATATCATCAGAACGCGCCAACTAAAACTAGTATTTAAAAAAAAAATAGGTATGTAGTTTGTTCACTATTCCATTAAGCTTGTACCCCGATACAACATTTCCTGCATAGCAAGGCCGTGGCGCCGGGTTTTCTACGTCATCCAATGGAGGCCAGAGCGGGACAAGCAGATTGGAGCGAGTGCTGGTGTCAGCGTTCGCCTGAAACTCGTGTCTTCGGTGATTGGACAACGATTGCCAGCCGAACGCTTATTCGGCACTCGTGTCCAATGTGTGCCCCGTACCGGCCTCCAGTAAGTGACGTCATCACGAACGGCCGTCTTATCTGGAAGGTGTTGTCACGATGTCCTCCACGAACGACGACGATTGTGCGGAAGCCAACATTCTTCATCGGAAATATTCCTTTTTTTTTTTTTTTACGAAGGATTTTGTGTACTGCCCCAATTTGATGCCAATTATGGCATTTAAGAGTAGTACTAACCGACAAGTATGTTTTTTTAACTTTAATTAGTATTAGCTCACCCAACTGATCACCTTACTATCCGACGAGAGCGCTTATAGATTGAGACTAGACCAAGTCTATTTTTGGAAGAGTAGGTTTTTGCTCGACGACAGAGAGGACAAAAAAAAAAAGCGACAAATGCAAGGGGGAAGGGTATTTGTTCCTCGTTGAAATATTGATTTGGCGCGGTCGGCATGCGGCCAATGGACTCCCAAGTAGTCTCGGGTACGGAACCGGTTTCGACCGTCTACTGTAGCCACGACGGACCGAGGATGCAGTCTCCTCGCTGATAACAATCTCGCTTAAAATCACCTCGAACGAAGGGAAACCGGAGTTTGGTGTCGTTGAGGTTTGTCGGCTTATCGTCGCAGGAACGTTAATAAACGTAGGGCGTCCCGCCCTACGTTTGTAACGCGAATCATCCCATAGTAGCACCCAACGCGAAGTTCCAGCATCACGTAGAGTACGACGACGGGGAACCGCTTGAATCTCAGACACGGTATATATCTGCAGCTCGGTTGGTCTGTCGTTAACCGTTGCCCCTCCATAAGAGCTCGCCTTTTCCGGACGGTACTGATCCCTACCAAAAAGACCTAGTTTTTTTTATTTTTGGATGGATATGGTTGACGGATGTATGCCGTCGTGATTTGACGGTCCTTCCGTGCTCCAAAGACGCATGCATTTACGACAAACGAAAGCACGTGGTGTAACATGTTCGTTTTATACGTATGTCCTTCAAACAAATCTGCAGGCAGTTTTTTTTTTTTTTTTTTTTTTTTTTTAATGATTCATACAAGGAAGGAACGCGCCTCAAGAGAGTCTCTGCAGACTCTCTTTTGTACGATGCTTTAGTGATGCAGCAAAATGCAGCACTATACTCCGCGTCACTAAAACCGTGCAGTGTAGCCAAAGCTATCCAGTGGGGAGAGAGTGTATGCCAACCTGTTCAAGAGGAGGGAAACGATGAACGGGAGAGAGAAGGGCTGGGATTCCCCCGTTCCTCCTTTCCTTCCTCTCGAACAGGTCGGGATACACTCTCTCCCCTGCAGCTCTGGCTGTACTGCACAGTTTTAGTTAGATGGAGGATAACTTCGAAAGGCTTGCTTACCTAGGGCGGTGTGTGAACACGCATACACACCCCCCTTCCCCTCTCTCTCTTTCTCTCTCTCTCTCTCTCTCTCTTTGGAACAGTTTTAAATTGCCGTTTTAGGGAAAGCACAGGCTATTCCCCGAAACGAGCTTCGCGCGTGCATGCTCACTGATGAACTCGAGCAACAACAGCAGTCCTGTCCTTCTAAGGGAACACCGTTTATAAGGAACACAGCGTGCTCATAAATGGGCTTTCTGATTATAGACGGGAGTCCGAAAGCGGACCACGAGTTTTACCGCGCTTGGTTGTACACCACTCTCTTTTCTTTCTGTATTTTTTTTTTTTTTTCGTTTTCTCGTTGCTGCTGTTGTTGCATTCTCGGTTTATTACAGCCTCCGCTTTTGATGGCTATAGAGCCACCGTGCCACGCTTCCTTCTTTTCCATTTTACGTTTCACCCCGATGATGATCCAGACGCAGTCCGATACGGCGCGGTCGTTGCGCCTGAAAAGCTTTTTCTATTTATTTATTTTTTTCCCTATGGGGCGGCTTTTTTCCCCAAATCGAACATCCCTAAATTAGGGAAAGGAAGATAGAAACAAACACACAGGGCTCATTCCCTCGCATTCGGTATTCGTACCTCAAGTTCTCCTATTTTCCTCTCTTTTTATTTTTTCTTCTTATTTGTTATTGGGGAAACATGCCCCCGAATTCGCCGCAATATGTAGACATTCACCGGCGACCATAGACCGTGCAGACGCCCGCCGAGCGCGTGCCGACGGCGAGCTTTCGCAGTTCTTTTGCAACGCGCGCACGTCAACATTCTTAGCAGCGACCGAGCACGCGCTCTAAACATCGCCTTTGAAAATATTGGCACCCAGCGAATATATATTCCCTAATAATAAGCGCGAGGGAAATGTACTACTATATAGAGACTCTTCTCGCAAATCGCCTCCTGGGCGCTGCCATCTTTGTCTGCCGGGCTGTGGAAGGACTTCTGAGCATGCGCTGTTGCTCTGCTGTGGGGTATATCGGACGCTGCGCCTGCGTCCGCGGCAGAGTGACTCAGCATTTTTGTGCCAGGCGATCAAGCAGAGGCCAAAAGTGTCTTGTCATGCCACTTGTCGTCTGTAGGTTTGCTTATCACCAACTAAGCCAAGCGCGCTTAGTAAAGTGGCCGGAATCGTGTAGTTTTATTTTGTGTGTGTGTATGAATGGCTTAGGCACCGTGACGGTGCACTTTTGGGTGCTGGTTGATTGGATTCATCGCATCGCCGCGTCGTACGTAGCGTCGCCTGCGGTCGAATTTGAAGGGAAACGGAGTTTATAATGCCGTTCGTTAACGCCTGGCGTTGAAATTCGACCCGCAATGTCGCACACTATAGTTGGAGTTACTATATATACACGAAGCTTCTTGTCTTCCTTTTTTTTTTAATTTTCGGGTAGGGATTTTTTTTTTAATACAGGGATGTCGATTACGGTCGTCTCGTTTCGTCTCTTTTTTTTTATTATTATTGTCTCGTTTTTGTTTCGTTTGCAATGGGGAAGATGATTGCTTATCGGCAAAATTTTCGAGCGGTTCTATATGAAAACCTCGAGGTAAGGCGATTGAGGCCCTGGAGTACGTTATTAGGCAGTCTGTTTCGCTGCTGGACCGCGTGCATGGTAGTTTTTTTTTTTTTTTTTTTTTTTCTTGGTGTTTTTTTTTCTTTTTTTTCGGCCGCATTTGGAACCGTTTTTGCGTATGCTTCATTTCCAATACTCTACCGTATACAGCGGGATGATCTGGGGCGCCCGGGCTCGCCGCTGATGTCTTTTCCCGTCTCGATAAACGTTTCTGAAATGGCGGGTTTCTCCGCGAGGTTCGAAATCGGTAGGCCTCCCCTCCCTCGTTCCCCATACTCCCCTAAAACAATTCCTCCTCTGTTGTGTTTGCTGTTATTTCTTCTGTATCCGAAATCACTGCCGTTTCGGAGTTGATTGCTCTGTGCCTGTTCCGAAGAGGGGGAATGGCTGGTTCGAGTGTAGCCCTATAACCTGGACCTGCCACGTATTGGGGAAAAAAACAAAAAAGAAGAAAAGTCCGTGGAGCAAACTTGTTTGGGGAAAATTCTGGTTACCTGATTGGTCTATTTTAGGCACGTAACAGCCGCGTTCTTCCCCAACTCCGTGCGTCGGCGTTTCCTTTTGTGAACGCCGCATACTTGGCTTGCGAGGTGACGTGATCCAGAGAGCGCTGCGATGACCACCAAAGAAGAGGGGAAGAAGGAGCTCTCCTCTTAATCCATATCCTCTTTTGCGTCTCCCAGATTAGCCCAGACGTCGCCATTCTCCTCCCAGAAGATTAGGGAAGACGAACCCGTAGCTAAAAATTCACGCAAAAGCAACTTCCCTCCCTCTCTTTCATGGTGGCCAGAAGTATGTGACGTGACGTCAGTGCAAGCCATGTATACCTTTACTCATGGGCTCACGGCGAAGGAGAGAGCACTCTCAAGAAAAAAGGGTGTAAAAAAATGTGTCGTTACACTCTTTGTCCCATATAATGCACCCCGAAACTTCATTTCGACGTACAGAGCTCATAGTCGAACAGACGGACCCAAATTTTACGAGGGGCTTGATAACGATACGATATAACTTTTTTAAATAGCTAAAGTGCGTATCAAAGACCACATAAAGAAAACACCGAGTTTTTTTTACAGTAGGGCCGTGAAAACCCCGATTATATTTTTGGTAGTTAGTAACACGTACATTATCTATTTTAATAAGTTGTACCACACGGCTACCAAGCCCCTCGTAAAATTTGGGGCCGTCTGTTCGTCTGTAGGGCGCTGTACGTCGAATTGAAGGTTTGGGGTGTATTATATGGGACAAAGGGTGTAACGATACACCCTTTATTCTTGAGAGTGAGGAGGACAGGCGTAAAGTGGTTCTGCCGCTACGCGGATCGGACATCTGAATCGTTGGGGAAAACTGCCGACCATTTGTTTCCTCGACTCCTGGAGTTTCGGTAGACTCAGTTTCTTTGAATTCCTATTACGGCTCCGGCGACAGGTCAGACGCGTGCCGCGTACGGCCGGCTGGATCACGTGACACCAGACGGGGAGTCCGAAACGAGGAAAGCTGGGCCGAGAAAAAAAATTCGTGTCAGAAGTTGCGCGACAAAAGTAGCGGGGGAAAGCTTGCCCGATAGACGTTGCGCGTTCAACGCATGTGGCCTGCCTCTAAAACGCACGATAAACACTTGGTCGAAACCGCTGAGAAAACTGAGTTGTTTTCATCGTAGAAACGCGATTTTCTTTACCATTAATTGTTTCTTAAAAGAATGACGTACTACAATAATTTTAACCAATTTTTTTCCCCCTCAAAATGCCTAGTTTTGGCGGAATGAAGCCGAGCTGCAACGACCTCAGATTTATATTTTGGCTCGTAAGTTACGTATCTCCGCTTTGCACCATTTTGTCTCGCCTTTTCGTGGTTTGAACGCCGACCCAAAGGCCTTCCCAGTCATCGATCACTCCTAACTCCCATCAGGCGACGATTTAGTCTCCCGACTTTAGAGAACAAAAATAAATTCAGAAACTGGGAATTTCCTACTGAATTTTCTGGCGGAAAGGTATATTTTATACGGCGAACGATAACATGAAAAAGTTATTGGGTTTAAAATCTGGAATAGATTATCTTCGCCAGTCGAGCAATCTTCTAATGGCGGGCACCTTAGAAAGGACTTCCTTGTACTAGCACTTGCGTGAACTATACTGTAATAGCCAGTTTCATCTTTTTTTTTTTTATTTGTGAGATTATCGTAACATACGTAGCCAACCTACGTTTTCCTTTTTTTTTTTTCCTAGTGACATACATACGTTTGTGATTAATTCTTTTATATATGATTGTTTGTATAAGCCAGTGATTTGTGCTCCTGATTCTGCTCTTGACTATTATGCGATTGGATGTGTAAGCTATCGATCTAAGACTTTTATAACATTTATTTGTTATTTTCAGACTTTTTGTGTCGTGTCGTCCATCGGTCCCCCTAGCCTCGGGGTTTAGTCCATTATGTTCAACCATCAGCAGGTCGTTTGTTCCCTAACTTTCTTTTCATTTGCGATTTGTGCTTTGGATTCATCTCTTTAATAATATGTGTACGCTTTGAATGGATCCCATCCAGCTAATTGCTAAGGCTCCGGGCGTCGATGTCATGTTGTATTTCAAGTAGGGCTGGGCGTCGATTAAAAGTTTTAACCCGATTAATCGCCACCCTTTAATCGATTAATTAATCGATTAATCGGTCTCGTTTATTTCATTGCAAAATATTAAAAAAAGTCTTTTTTTTTTTGCTGAATCTGTGATAAACGGTGCAATGTACAACTTATATTATGAATTAATCTCGATATGTAGTTAAGGAGAGTATCAGAGACCTTTCGCTAAAAATTACTTTTGCCGGGGGAGGCAAAGATGTTCGTTGATATTCTCTAGAAAGAGCGGCTTCCTTTCATTGTTCACAATAATCTCTACTGCGCTAAATAGACACTCGAACTACTTTGAAATGGCCGGGGACATGCGTAACCTCTGTAGTTAATCGGATGCTATAAAAATATCGCCCCTGTACAGTTTACCTTGTTCTAAAATTTGACCTAAAGGTCACCCTTCGTACAGGCGTATTCGTTCACGTCTGCGTTATGGAAGTGTTTAATTTTGAGTTTTTTTTGGTTCGTTTAAATTTTACCGATTAACCAGTTAAAAAATTTAATCGCGATTAAAGCATTAATCGATTAATCGGTAGGTTAATCGATCATTTGCCCAGCCCTAATTTCAAGTATGCATTTTTGTAACTAAATAAAATAATAACCGGTGCGACCCTGAGCTGCAATTCACACGAAAAGAAGTATTTAAAGAGCGGTCCTATAAATTTGTTTAGACTACATAAAAAAATCCTTTCGGGGAATATAGGGGAATCTGTATTTTTACTTTCCCCACTCAATTTAGGAGGGGCACTGGTAAAAAGGTCACGTACATCAATTTTCCCGCTAAATTTAGGGGAGAAACAGAATGGGTGTATAGCTCTTGGCGACATCAGATCATAAAACATCAATTTCCCCGCCGAATTTAGCGGAGAAACTGAATTGGTTCAACACGTAACGTCAATTTTCCCGCTGAATCTAGCGGTAAAACGGAATCAATGTATAGGTCTTGTGACGTCAGCCCTCTAAAGTTTGAGGAAAATGTACGGACGGGCGAACGGACAAAAATTTCGAGATTGGTGGGAAAGTTCGACCAGGATACATTTCATGCTTCAATAATCACTACACAGCATCCTCACTCGTCCCTTATTCTCGGGCAGTTGCTGGACGTCAAGTACGGCAGCTACGGCGCCCCGCACCTGACCCCGCTGACGCAGACCAACTACACGTTCCGGCCCACCGTCCGTCCTCAAGATCACCAGCAGCGCCCGGCCGGTTCCACCCTCCACGGTGGCGGCCACCACGTTGGCGGAGGTGGTGGCAGGCGGTCGGCGCCCGGCACCTCTCAGCGGGCGCACCACCACAAGCCTTCGCGGACGGGCACCGCGTCGTCCCGGCGGTCGCACCGGTCCAACAGCGAGCAGTTCAACCCCATCTACGAGGAGGTGTCGGGGAGGGCCAAGTCCAGGAGGAACTACCGGGGCCACCACCGCGACAGCGAGGACAGCGAGGTCGAGGAGGTACGTCCTGGAACTAACTTTTCTGCAAGTCACCATTGTTTTTTTAGTAATGCAGTCAGTCTGCAGACACTGGCTGAGGAGTCTTTCTTCCTTGTACGACGGGCACACAAGGTCATATAAAACTGTCTTTAGACATGTTCAGAGCATACAGATGTAAGAAGCGAAGCATGCTTCAGGCTTTTCGCACTGCAGATAATTCCGTCATCACGTCTGGGGCCTACGGCGTGTCTTTGATATGACGTGACGAGAGCGGTTATAACGAAATCGGTTATAACGAAATTGCGGTTACAGCGAAGCGATCACGATTTCCCATTCTCTTTTGCACTTCGTCATAACCGAAGTCGGTTATAACGAAATAGCGGATATAGCAAAGTGATTTCCGATTACCGTTGACTTCGTTGTAACCGGTCTCGACAGTATAAGCAGTGTGACTACAGCTTTACAGCCTTCACATTGGGGGTGGGGGTTGTTGCCTGGCGCCGCGGATTACCCGCGGCGCCCTTGCTCTAGCTCTTTACTTCCTTCCGAGGTGGCACCCGAACCTCTCCGTGCTGGCATATATCTCTTAAAGGGCACCTGAAAAGAATATATATATATATATATATGTCACTGCAACATTAGGACCTGATGAAGAGCGGTCCTCGCTCGGAACGTCGTCCAATAAATACGTTTTAAAGCATTTACCTCCTTTTTACGATATATATATATATATATATATATATGTGTGTGTGTGTGTGTGTGTGTGTGTGTGTGTGTGTGTGTGTGTGTGTGTGTGTGTGTGTGTGTGTGTGTGTGTGTGTGTGTGTGTGTGTGTGTGTGTGTGTGTGTGTGTGTGTGTGTGTGTGTGTGTGTGTGTGTGTGTGTGTGTTTGAAGAGTCAGGTTGGGACACGCGTTGTCAAAAAATTCATTTTAGGCTACAAAAAAGTTATATCAATATTGACGGTGCGAGATTTATTTTAAATCCTGGGCGCAAAGTCCATGACGTCACGGAATGGTCATACACTCTTTCCACGTCAATGAGATGGTCGCATGTTCTCTCCACCTCAACGTGAAGGCGAAGCCCACCCACCCTTCCTCCACGCGCCCAAAATGCCGACAGAGAAAACAAGTGGAAAGGAGGTGACTACCAACTAAATCGCGTCTCGCGCCGTCACTATTGCTCAAACTTTTTTTTCGCGTAATTTTTTTTTTTTTTTTGACACCCGTGTCCCGATTAGATTATTTAAAACAACTGTTCATTTCAGGGACTTTTTAAGGGATCCAGTTGTACAAATTTCCCGACTAATTAGATCTACCGGTTATGAAACCGCCATTCAGCGGGATCTTGGGCGGAACGCCTCTTCCTTGTCGTCTTTTCGACAAACAACTTCCTACAAGCAGGCGTTTATTCGTATACATATCAATATAATAAATGTTATACTAAGGTGGCTGCAGTTATTTCGGGTGAATCTATTGGCACCCACTTTCAATAGCGGTGGTTGGAACAGTTGTTGGGGATTGTTTAGGCGGTATACTGAACAAAACAGCCTGATCCCCCCCAACGCGCGTAAGTAAGCTCCCATCGCTTTTGAACGGGAGTGCAAAGGCTGTTAGAAAGGTCACTCTCTAGTCCGACCGTGGCTAGAGATGCATCGCCTAGAATAATCGGAGCCCGTACACTATAGTGTGTCCGCGTTATGGCAGTTAGATCGAGTGCAGACAGTAGGGTCCTTTTGCAAACCGTTACCCGTGTTCCGTGTACCGCACTACGCGGGGCGCGCGCTTAAAAGCATGCTTCGAAGGCTCCGGTGGTACGGTACGCTGAGCACGGCAACGGTTTGCTAAAGGTCCCTATACTGATTGGACACGAACGCTGCGTCAGCTTTCGGATGGGCGTCGGGTTCGTGGAATTAGTGCGCCGAAGGTGCGTTCGCCGTTGGGCTCAGGACCAATTGCCGAGTTCGCGCAATTCAAATGTGACGATGTTACGTGGACGAAGAGGAGGTGTTATTCTAGGTGAAGGGCAAAAAGAGCAAAGAACAAGAAACCGGTTCGTGTTCCTGGTGTTCTCCGTCTCGTGATACGCGAGTGCCCCAAGCCGTAATAACATTACCTTTCACCTCTTTTCTTTTTCTTAAATTACGGAGCTTACGAGTCTAAATATACCTCGGCCACACAGTGGCTATAGGACCACAGATCCGAGAATACAAATATGCTAGGAGGCTCAGTTCTTCTGCCTCCAGCTGATAGTGTCTCGTGTATGTCTTTTGCCTCCTGGATCAACAACAACAGGTCGATGCGCGGAGCCTGGCCAGCGAGGACGAGTTTGCGGAGGACGAGCTGAGCCTGGGCGAGTACCCGAGGCTCCCGGAGTCCGGCAGCAGCAGTCTCCAGGGGTCCACGGGCGGCGACCTGTGTCCCCCGGACAGTTCCAGCCACCTGGACCGACCACCGAGCAGAAGACTTCGCGGTGTTGCCGCCACGTCCTCCGGCAAACACAGTCACTCCCTGGAACGCAACCGCAACAACTCGACGGGCCTCCAAGCCAAACACAACTACTACCTGAGCAAGTCTGCGCTCGCCTTTGACCAGAGGAACCTGGACCCCACCGGAGCGTACAGTTCTGTGGACCTGGTGCAACCGTCTCCGCCCCCGGAGCCCGCTCCGTCCGGCCTGTTCGGGGCCGGATACCCCCTGGCCGGAAGTTCATCCGGGTTCATGGTGGGGCCGGACTGCCAGTACCCTCCGGTTCCGGCCAATCCGGGGACCTTCTCGACGTTCTTGGTGCCCTCTGCGGCGCAAGAGGACGTCGGTGACGGCGCGGCAGCAGCGGAAAACATCTACGCGTCCATCGACGACGAGGACTCGGCGGGACCGTACACCATCGGCGGCGTCCGAGGCACGTCCAAGGCTCCCGGTCTTCAGGGACAGCTCGGCAAGACGCCCATGGGCGGGAGGACATTGTCCGCCAAGGAGGCTCCGTCGTACGGTGACATTAGGCCGGTGTTCCCTGGTGGTGCGGCAGACCAGAACCGGACCTTGTGCACGTGATCGGCTTGCCGCCGCCCCCTGGTCTGGACACGTGGAGGAGTGTCTGTAGCACGTTGCGGACGTTTGACGCTTTGGAGTTTACCTTCGTAGCGGGGAGAGATGGCCGACTTTGGGGTATTCTTATGCCTGCTACTGCCGACGCTTCGTTGTGGCTTCGAACGTGGCCGAAGGAACGTCGTCTTGATACCTTTTTCGCTCTCGTTCGTTGGTTTCTTTAGTAACGACGGACACTTCTTCATCCCCCGGGATTCTCATGGTCAAGAGCTTGTCTACACTTGACGCAGGATGTCTCCGTTCTTGTTCTGCGAGCAGTTTCGGCTCTTCGAGGTCCACGTTTTTCTGCCGGGTTTGCCGGTGTTTTCTCGTAGTTCAAACGGGGAAAACAAGCTTTTCGAGGATGAGAGTTCCCCAGTAGTACTTTCTTACGGTGGACTACGGGGCGTCAATGGAAGCATGCAGACTCGGTCCAGAATCTAAGGCAAAAAGAAAGAGACAGAATGATCTACTCTGGCAATAACTGAAGCCGTCGCCGAGCAGCGTATACACAACAAACGTCCCAAGAGAGCAAAGACGTTGTTGTCTCTAGTTTCTGAGAATCCTCCAATTTTCTTCCGAACTTTCATCGGGATATTCTTCTCGCGTAGGCAGTAAAAATGTTCATCGTGCTCCTATCGTCGAGGCCGCTACGCAGTGTGCTCTACATTTTCAGAAAGGACTTGTTCAGGCCCCTGCCCCCCCCCCCCCCCCCCCCCCCCGATTTCCCCGCGTTGTACTACTGAAAATGGACTCCTTTGAAAGAGTAATATTATGCGCTTGATAGTAGCGACTGTTCATATTATTTAATACCTTACGGAAGAACTATGCAGCGACCCAGTGTGTGTTCTCACACGTGTGTTTTATGTTTTCATTTCTTCGTTCCGGATGTTTTTTTGTTTTTTTTTTTTTGTCTTTCTGACGATGTGTGTATGACAGAGTTGTCGAACACGGATGCATATACTGAGAGCTCCGGCTTTGGGAGTAACCTGACCAGTTTTGAAGAGGGGGTTATTTCACACTATATGGTAAATAGTATACTTTTCTCTCTCTTTTTTTTTTTTTTTTTTTTTTGCCAGACTGCATTTTTTTTTATTTAATTCGGTGTATTTCTCAAGGAAAAGACGATCTTCCTAGATGGAGGCGAGGCATGTTAAGATCATTTCAGTAAACGAGCTAATCTGAAGCGGTGTCCAATTGTTCCCAAAGGCGCCGATTTTATTCTGAGTATTGGGATAGCATTTTTTTATATTAATAACGCATTCGAGCAGTTTTCTCACAAAACCCGTATTCGCACGAAGTTGTGTCTTTCACGATTCTCCGCGCATGCGCAGTGCAGCTCTTATTTAACGCTGCGGCAACTACATCTATCAAAAAAGAAAAAAAAAAGAAATCCGATCAGTCATTTGTTGCTTTTATGTGCCACCCTCCAGATTATGCTCTAAGGGTAACTTCACCGCCATCTTTGAACAGCGTCGAGTCACGTGACCCAAAGCGCCAGCCAATGGGTAGCGTTTGCGTTCCTCGTCTAGCTAACCCACATTGGTGCGACAGAAGCGAACGTAAATGCGTAAATGAACTACGTAAATGGACGCTCGAAACCTCGTGTAGCTTTTGTTTTCCATCACGGTACAGCAAAAATGTAGAAATCGCTCGAATATTTATTAGTTCTGAAAGCTAGGATGGAAGAGGATGCACGTAGTGGACGCCATATTTGTGATGTAAAGAACAAAACAAAGCAGTTATTGTTCTCATTCTGTCTTCACGAAAACCCTGAGTCACGACGGGCTGTGATACCGCCATAATGTCACGATGATGAGCAAAATAAGAAAAGGAAAGGTAACCTGGAACAATTGCACTTTTTGTTTGCTCTCAGGCTCATGCTTCTTGCCACCCTGAACATTTTCAGAACTTGTAATCTGCACTTGATCAAACGGCAAGGGCGTGCCTTGCGCGGCAGAGTGCAACAATATTTGGAGCGACTTCTGTTTCCGAGCCGATATAGACACCGGGTCCCACCGCTTTCTGGCAGTGACTTCGTCACTTAATTCCTGTGTTCAGAAAAAGAACCCGCGTTTTAAGATGAGATACGAATGCTTCTCACCTTTGACTGCGTCGGCCGTTCAAACTAGGAGGCCGCATCCTTCTTGCTTTTCTTCAACTCTCTGGCAACCGCCGCTCACAGTGTTTGCAGACAACTTCGACCTCCACGATCGTTTTCCTTCCGGACATGAACCTATCTTTTGCTGTAGCGAAACGTGTGCCGAAGACGATGGACCCTTGCGATTTCGTAGTGCTCAATGAGTGGATGTTGCAGACTTGCTTACCCCCAAGTCGTCGAGTGTCTGGTGGTAACGTCGATGCATGGTGACGTTCTCCTTTTTGTGGGCGTGACACTGTCGTCTAGTTTCTCTTACCTTGCTTTCTTTATTATTTTTTTTACCTTCACGTCTCTTATTTTTGTGAAATCTATTTCGTTCCCTTCCATCTAATTGCAAAAATTCCTTTTTGGCCCTTGCTGAACACGCGCGTATGTGTCTGACCTACCGGAAAAATTCGCACACATTGGTGTGCAGCGCTTTTTCTTAATTTTAGGTCTGTTCTTTTTTTTTTTTCCGCGTTGCTAGCTAGAGTTTTCAAGATCAAATTTCTCACAAAGTTTCAGTACGTGCTAAGTTGCTAGCTTCCTCACTTGTAAGCTGTCGACCATTTGGTCGACAGCGTCGCGTAAAAACGTGGGGTGTTCGTGGCGAGGCTCGTGTACTCCGGTCTTCCTGAACCTCGAAGTGACAACGAGATCTGAGAGGAACACACCACGAACAGACACGCGCCTGTAGTACACTCAACCGGCATCTGGGACAGCTTGGCAGATTTTGATAACCGAAATGCATCTTGCCTAAAGATCTACTTAGTTCAAGTGAACGGGCCCGAAAATAATGTTAAATTTGACGTTCCCCTTTTGTGGTCTTCATCCAGCCCGAATGAAAACTGAATTCCCCCTTGGTTCAAGCTTGACTCCGCCGTCATAGTTGGAGTGGGTCCGTAAAGATATGAAATTCGATGTTCTCTTATCTGGTCTTTAGACATCCCGAACGAAAACTTAATTCGGCCTGACCCAAGCTGGGGCCCGCCGGTAATCAAGTTTGAATACGGCGGCAGCGATCGAGCCCAGATCCGGTTCGAATCTCGTCTTTATTTGGGCTGGATTGATCGCACTCCGAATCAAGCGGCGACCGTTCCCCAGATTCGTCTGGAGTCGGAAAATTTCATTGGCTGCACCTCGCGAGGCCAGTGTTGCAATGAGCCGCTGATGTTCCCTGTCCCCTAACTGATATGTCTCAGGTCTCGCTGCTACCACTATGAGGTTTCCTCGAAGAGCAATACACAGTGTTAATGTCGATCTCGTTCGCTCGGAGCAAAAGTTTTGTTTTCGTTGTGTGCATGAGGAATGAACGACCAGAGTGCGTGAAAACAACACAACGAATGTTGGGAGCTACCTTTCCGTGTTGTTTCTTTCTACCCTCTATCTTCTTTTTTTTTTTTCTTGAGTCATTGTCATGCAACGATGCAGTTTTGCGATTTTGGTCTTGCGTTTCTCGGTGTAATATTTTTTTGTTTATTTGCGTTTTACCGTATCTTTTTTTCCCTGGCTGCTGGTATGCGTGGGAGTGAGGTTTTTTTTTTTATATATGAATATATAGATTAAAGCGACTCTAGTCACAAGTTGAATACCCAGTTTCTCGGATGAGTTCCGAAACCCCGTAGATAACTCGACCACAACCGTTAAATTTGATTTCAGTGATCGCAAGGTATCTTTGGTGGCCGCCGAGGCAGCCATATTTTGAGGGTTCATTTTGGCGCCCAAAGTGTGTTCCTGGGTGTAAAAAATACCGGAAAACTTTACACAGCAGAATGTTGTACTTTTTTTTTTTCTTTTTCCGTGCGGTTTTACTTTTGACGATATCGGTCATAGTGACTAGATCACTAAGAACATTACTCTTCGTTACTGTGTTTTTCTTGATAAACAGGTAAAAAGATGTGCTTTCATTCGGTTCCGTTAAAAGTTAGCCTTATCGTCATTGGATGGGGAAGGAAAACCCGCCGATATCAAGGTGCCATCTACTGCATGAAATTCGGCAACAGAAACAAACAAACAAAAATGATGTTTCACCCGTCTGTTAGGTGTAAAACGTGTTTTAACCTAGGCGTACACCACTTGCAGGCTGCTACTTACTCCACTAAACATTTGTTTTAAGAAATGTTACTTTTTTTCAGTTTTACAAAGTATGACGACGAAGCTGAGTTTTGAAACAAACCGTATACTCCGTCGGTTTCTTTTTTTTTTTTTTGACATTTGTTGATTTGTCGTACAAGTTGTGCCATCTTTGTTGACGATGATTATCGAAATTCTAGAGTGAGTGTTGTGTTTATGAGTGCATTTTTTTTTCTTCTTCCTTGACCCCGTCGACGGTGATGCTGAGATGCAAGCCATATGCGCGTCTTGTCGCGCTGTTCCTCGTGTTTAAGGGACGTAAACGACGACGACGACGAACATTTTCTTCATATTTTTTTCCCTCTCGGACACATCCAGATAGTGCGTGCGTGATTGTGGTGTGCTTGTGACTCCAAGGACGGAACGAAGAAAGCGGTCTTTTCGTTTTTCTTTTTCTTTTTTTTCTTCTTTTCTGCCATTTCAGATTTTTCTTCCGTTCTTTTGTACAGATACGAGAAAGAGAGAAAAAAAAATATGGTCACCCTATACTCTCCCCGTGTCACGTTTCTTCGTTTCATGGTGATCGACGAAACTAGAGTCACTGGCAACTTACGAAATGTGGGGCGTGTCGAGTCCTGCGCGTATAATTATCACTCGGCAGCCAATCACAGATTCGGACATTAGCTGATTGGAATGCCGAATTGAACCAATCGCGAAGCCAAAAGCGAGAAGAACCGCGCTCAGCGTTTCTGAGACAGTCGGTGACTGTATGCGGAGCGAAATTGCGTCTGCTTCTGGGGCGAGAGTGGCGGTGACGTCACAACCTCGCCGAGCTCTGATTGGCTCTGATTGAAAAGATAGTGGGTAGACCTCAGTGCTAAATGCCTTAAAATCTACCGACTTTTTTTTTTTTTTTTTTTTCAAGTCTGCCAATAAGAGTTTGGCGTTCTGACGTCATCGCAACCCCTGCAAAAAAAAGCAGACGAACTTGCGCGTTCATGACTTCATTACAGATGGGCGGAGCTTGCTGTATGTAATCCGTTTCGCCATTAGGCGACAAGCAGCTGACGCTGCGGTTCCCTCGAACCAATCGGAACGACGGAAACGGTCGAAGCACTGGACGTCGACGATACTTTGTCACGTGGCTCGCTTCGACGTTTTTGTTGGCTCACTGGTGTCGTGGAGCTCTGTGACCTTCTGACGAGTTGGGAAACAGGAGGACTGCCGTCAACCCCATCCTCGAGGATGCAAAATGAAATGGACCTTTTGATAACAACCTTGAAGTGTGGACTCTCCACGTGCAAGGTTCAAAGCTCGACTTGCGACTGGCGGTGGACAGTGGCTAGACTCGAAGGTATAGCTGCCTTTTCCTCTACCATGCTGTGTCTACACACACCGTCTCCCTCCATTCAGAGGCGAACGAGAGCATCGTCTGATCCTTGCTCGGGTTCTTGCGTTCGGCTTTCGAACGCCAGACCTCGGTCTTCATTATAGTTGTAGACCAGGCAAGATAACGTCGATGGAGTACCGTCGAGAGTATTCGCCACCCCAACGCCCCACAGACGGTGGGGATACATTCTCCAGGATTTCTCTGGTGCCTGCTCGCTGACGCTAGTCAGTGCGCTTAAATTAATTTATTTGGCCATAAGTAGCGGTCAGGGCAGGTGCATATATCGCAGGTGACGGAAATGTTGACGCGAGCCGAAAAAAAAATGAGCATGTTAGATTTTAAAAGTTGCAAAGCGAAATACAACAATTCTTATTTCAATGCACTCGCACTTTGAAAACTGCACGAAGCGCGAACTCGCCGACCAGAGCCATGCGATAAGAGCAGCACCAATGCCGACAGTCCCTGCCACTGTGTCCGCCGCTGTCCCCGCTCCTCTGGTTCTTAATAGTTTGTCTGCGAGAGGGCGGGCGCGGGCTGGAGTTGCAAAGAAAATCAGTCCATGGAGACAAAAGATCCTTTTCAAAAGTGAACGCCATCTAGCAGCTGCTGCGCCAAGTATACCAGTTCGCCATTGTTTGGGCACGTATTGGACACGAGGGCTGCGTCAGCGTTCGGCGAGGACTCTGAACCAATCACAGGCTTCGTGCCCAAGAAATGGCGACCGCCAATGTTGCTCGACGGGGTTTTGAAAAGGGCGCAATGTGTAAAAATTGTAGAGCCCAACCACTTCACGTGAAGACGGAGGACCAGCGAAGCTGTTATCTTTACGACAACTATACGACATCTATATGACTTACATATGATTGCAATGAAGACACGTACGCGACTTCGTTGTTTGTCTTTATTTAATTCTTAGGGACTAAAGTGATCATTGCCTTATGGTCACTATGGGCAAGTTCTAAACCCAATTTTTCGAAGCACACCTCGAGGACAGTTTTTTTTCGATTGAGCCCAAGTCTCGTGGAAGCGAAAGGAAAGAAGGTTAGATCGGCGCGTTCTGCCCTCAGCCTCGTCACAGCGCACTCTCAGCTGAGAGAAGTCTGTGACCGTATATAGATACATGATAACAAGGGATCAGTACCTCACCATCTAATAATGCCAAGAAAGGCTGACCCATGCGGGTTGCCCCCTCTATTCATTAATACTGGCCACGACCAATCGGAACAAAGGAGCTCTGTTTAAACGGGAGTTTGTTAACTAATATCCATGGACACACTTTTTTAAAGGTCCTAACCGCCGAATTCAGAAACCTCACTCAAACTACACTCTAACTGAAGAGCCCCTCCACTTCCTCGAGGAGGTGGAGGTAAGACATAGCGGCTTTGCTGTAAAAAATAATGGTTGCTCTCTTTTCTGTCCTTTACTGGGATTGAAATTTCGGAATGCACTACGTGTTTGCAGTACCTAAAAAGGTGTCTTTTTTTGCCCACAATGTGCTAAGTTAAAGCGATAGCTGTGACGTTCAGCGATCGAAGAGCGGAGAGGGGGACACCTACGTAGATAGGAGGTGAAGCTTTGCGGGGAAGGCGGTTGCAAGTCGACGAGTTTTGGCAGAACATACGAGCTGGGTTCGAGAAGTATATAGAGATGTTATAGTGAAATCGAACGCCACTGGTACTTTCTAAAACCCTCCAACATCAGCCGTAGCAATTGGATACTGCCAAAGTGGGATTTTGTACAACGGGAGTGATGCTTGAAAACACCTGTTTTGAAGGTTGGCGACGACAGGGGAAGACACTCCGCTGACGCTTCCTCGTTGTCTCGCCGTTATTGGGGAATTGTAGTTGAGCGTTTCCGCAGCCCGCCAAGCACCCGGATAGCGTTCCGTAATCCGTCACAAGACCTTGAACTCTACAGAAAAGGCTGGCGGCGCGCATGCGCAGCTGCGGCGTTTTCTTCACGGATACCGCAGCGGAGGAGAAAAACGGTGTACTACAATTCCCTATTAGGGAGTTATAGTGGACCGCGTTTCCCCCTCCGCTTAGCCCCTCCGCTACCCGGAACTCTACAGCCAAGGCCATCGGCGCGCAGGCGCAGTGGTGGTTTCTTCGTAATGGAGGGATAGCGGAGGGGGAAACGCGGTCTGCTAAAACTCCCTATTAATGGGTCGTCGGGGTTCTCCTCTCGTCCCTCTTCGCGCGGCGCGGGCAATCGGAGTGCCAGACTTTTCTCTCCTCGCACCATGAGGGGAGAGAAGGGTTTTTTCCATATCCGCTAGCGACGACAGACAACAAACGCCGACACCAAAATCCCTCCAAAGTGTCACCCGCAAGACTATCGCTTAAAAGAAGGGTACAACAAAGGAAACCTCATTTGCTCCCTGATAGAAAGCTCCGTAGGGCCTGTGTGTTCTCTCGTCTTAAGAGGTCTAGCTTAGCTGGGTCGATCACGATCAAGCGGAAATGTGTGAACCAGCCTTCACACGAGCACGATAATGCACAATGCCTACCCCCCTCCCCCCTCAAAACCTCAAAACTCGAGCTTTTATCGACAAACCTGCACATTCTGAGAGAAGGAAAGGGATTTATTAGAAGAGAAAGGGCGGTAAAAAGGCTTCAATCAATTACCTTCAATAGCCGACCATTTTCGATTTTATGCCCGAGTTCCACTAGAGCGACAAACAAGAAACAAGCGACACCGACAGGCCTCGTGCACGCCTATAGGACGCACGCGAAGGTATCTTTGCCAGGCTTTTAATCGCTCGTGCTCACTCACGAGCACCGAAAGACTGCAAGTTTGTCAAAGCATAGCCTCCTTTCTACTCACGAAGCCTGGCAGTTCGACGACGGAGTCATAGAATGCCCGGTAGCAGATTTGAAGCGAGATCTCATAGCACAGAGCATTTCTCGGGGAACCTGGACGTCAGCGCACACTTTTTGCAGCGGCGATTACCCGAAACATGGTTTGCAAACCCGACGGGAAGCGAAGCGGTAGCGCGAGGAATGCGAGGAGCACGAGCGGCCATTCCACCGCTCGGGAGAAGCGTGTTTCGGCGTCTCGCCGCAGCGGGGCGCCAGTTACATGACTCTTCTCTGATCCTTTGTCTGCCGCTCTACCTTTTCTCTTTCGGCGGCCGCGTCTCATGGCGATCGGCCAGGCTTTGTCGGTATAGAGGAGGCTATGGTCAAAGGTACCTTTCGTGTGCATGCTGTACGTGCACGAGGTCGGTCGGGGTCGGTTGCTCCTGTTTGCCAGTCTGATCACAAGCATCTACAGTGAAGACAAATGCATGGGTATACGAGCACGTGGCTTTAGAAAGTGCCTCTAATGCACGAGCCCTTGTACGAACAAAAGCCTACTGCTGAGCTAGGCTCGCGCGCCTCGGCCTTTGCCTTTACTAAAGACATTTGTGAGATGGAGTATTGGCGGCGAGAAGTTATGGTGGCGCCCTCCTACGGTTCCCCCTTGTGACGTCATTACCTTGCAAACAACAAGTTCGATGGTGTTTGTAAATAGCATGGTGGAAGCCTGAAATCATTGCGCTCTCAAAGGAACACTGCCAACAGCGTCAAAATTAAAGTTCTTTCATTCCTCTTATTTCCGTCGATGATACACCCTTTCCGACGTCATAAGTCAGCGTTCGGCCAATCGTGGAAGGCCGACCACAGCGGCGCTTTCGGTCGCGCTCGTCGCCAATTGGTGGCGAGATGTTTCGGTAACACCCTCCTATGGTTCCCTATAATCTGGCGTCATTACTTTGCGAACAACAAGTTGAATGCTGTCCGTAATTCGCATAGTGGGGACTTCAATTCATCGTGCTCTTACACCGACACTGCCAACACCGTCAAAATTGAAGTTCTTACATTACTCTTATTTCCGACGTCTGATGCTTACGTTTTAGTCGGCATTCGGCTCATCGTGGCAGGCCCAGTACTGCGACACTTTCAATCGCTCATTTCGCTTCTAAAACCCGGTTCAGACAGTTGCGTTTGACTGCGTTTGTCTGCGTTGCGGCAGCGAGACACCAGGACATCCCTGCTGCTTATACCGCGTGCCAAGATGATTCTTTGAATTGGATTTGACGCTTCATATGAAGCACAGATGTGCCGGTGACTCGCTTTCCGTTGTCGCCGCAACGCAGTCAAACGCACTGA